CCCCACAGGGGTCGTGTCCTCTCACAAGTCAATAATGGAGGTCCTCAGCCATGGGGGTCTCAAGAGTACCCCACTGGCTCCACACAGGGAGCCCCAGAGGGCCCTGGTGGAGGGCAGTCCTCAGGAAGTCAGCTCCTGGCTGCCTACCTGGTTCAAGATCTGGGGAGCTCTGATGGAAGGGCTCACCAACAGTGGAAACGTCAAAATCTCTAGTTGTCTCTGTATCATCACTTCCAAGCTGAGCAACCTTAGGCAAGTTACTTACCCTCTCTGATGGAATCCCATGAACTCATGGGGTTGCTGATCGGATTGAATGAAACAGTCCGTGTGCTGGCCCATCTCAGCCATGGTCTCTTCAGAGCAATCCAGACCCTGATGCGAGGGCTGTTGTCCAAGTCATTCTGGAGGCGGTGTCAGGAAGCATGGAACTAGTTGGGGAAGTGAGGCAGAAAAGAAGGGAGTCCAGTAAAGGGGGCATCATCTGAGCAGGTTCTGGGCTCTTGGTCCATCACCACATGTGGCTGGGGTCGAGGGCGGAAGGCTGCCGTGGGGCTTAGCGCCCTGTGTTTGGCAGCTGCCTTCCTGTAGGGCTGGACAGGCCCAGGAGGCCGAGGCTGGGGTGTTAGCCCTGGTGTCCCCACCTCAGCTGCAGGGGTCCAGTCTCGGGAGGAGGCCAGGTCCAGGGAGGACATTCCCAGTGGGCTGCTGAGCAGCCTGGCTGCAGCCAGAGCCTTCCTGTAGGCTTGCACAGCATTTTCTGGGCAAGGTGGCAGCGCTGCCAAGTCCTGACCACCATCTGAGCTGGCGCGGCTGCTTGGAGCCTTGGCTCAACCTCCAAGCCCCTGAGCAGCTAGCTCTTCCTGCCCCAGCATCCTCCTGCCCTGCCCTCCCCTCCCATGTGACATTAGCACCAGTTCTCCCTGAGAAATGAATTCAGTCAAAAGAATGTAATGAAAACGCTGCTGCTGGTCCCTAAACAGGAGAGAGGAATGCCCTCAAACTGGTGGTAACTCCCCTCTCTCCTCACTAGGCCTGCCAACAGAGAAGTTACTGTTCAGACCCAGGAGAATGGGAAGGAGACTGGGATTGAGGGCCGAGGGTACGAAGACCCGGGCCCTGACCGAAGGCCTGGCCTTGGTGACCACAGTGCCTCCCTGCTCGCCACCCCCAGCTGCACCTGCTTTCCCCACTTAACCTTCCCGAGGACACTGCAGACCTCGGACACACAGCGACACCCAGCTCCATCTGACACCCGATGAGCCTTCTACCTGGCTGGGCTTGTCCTCCAATGTGGCGGCTGTTTCAAGAAGTGACTTAGAAGGGAAGGAACGTGGGACGTGCTGTCGGCTGAGGGTAGGGTTTTGACTTACTCATTTCAAGTTGCTGCTTCTCCATCAATCCAACAGAGGTCTTTGGTCATACTCTGGGGTAGAGCTGACACATCGTGCGGGGGTAGTGCCCAGGTGCTCCTCTGGCCAGATGTCTGTTTTGGAAATTGTGGGAGGTGTGAACACCTGACCTCGATAAACCTGTAAAAGCAATACTTAGGAGGCTGGCTTCTTTTGATTAAAACTGAATGCAACTCCGACTCCGGGGACGACTCCTGCCTTTTGTTTTTTCTTTGACGCTCAGGTGAGGGCTCCTTATCAGAACCTAACAGGTGTCAAAGGAGATCTGGTAGGGTTTAGGAAATTGGCCATGCTAGGCTGACGTGGGAGGCCCAGAGTACTGGCTGCTGTGAGCCTGGCCAGCATGAAGGCAGCCTTGGACTGTGGCGGGGGAGCCCCGAGGCCCAGCTGGAAACCAGGCGGAATCCCACAGATGTCAGAGGTCATTGTGCCTGACACAGAGAAGACCCCTCATTAAATACGGGAGGCGTGTGTGAGTAAGGGAAGAAATGATCGAATGAACAGAATTGGGTGTATTTACAGTGAGATGACAAATAAGTCTTTCTCTTGAGTTTGCAGACAAGAACTGAACATGAAAGAAGAAATTGTGAAGGACTGGCGGGCAGGCATGGGGTGGCATCCTGTGTTCAACAGAGTGGACGTTCTGAGGAGCTGTGCTCAGCTGAGTCCTGAAGGACGATAAATAGCCATGGGAAGAACATTCCAGATGAGTCAGCTGTGGGAAAAGGTGGGAAGGTCACTGCAGGCAGAGGCAAGATTAAACCACAGAGAATGAGCCCAGTGTGAAAACAACCCCTCACACACGCACACCGAGCTGTGTGCCAGGCTCTTTTCTCAGCATGCTAGCTCACTGAATCCTCACATACCCCATGAAGAAGGGACTGTGACTGCCCATTTTACAGATGGGGAGACTGAGGCATGGAGAAGTAGTGATCTGGTCATTGAGCCATCTGGTGAGTCTGTGGGGCTTAGTCCAGTGCCCAGCACGTAGTCATAAGATCACTGAGGTTGACTGAGCAGCTTACTGTGCCCCCCTGCATGGTGGTAAGGGCTGTAAGAGCTTGTACTAGGGCAGCTTGCTTGGCTGTGATCCTGGAAGCTATTATTCCCACCAGTATTTCAAACCCTAACAGGCTTACCCATGATGGACACGTTTCAGTGGAGCGTCCAGACTAAGAAGAGTAGGAAGAAAGCCTGGACAGTCTGCTCCCCTATGGATCACAAAAGAGTAGTGTCCGATCCAGCACCGGAAGACACTCAGAATACACTGTGCAGATAGTGTCCTACAGAACACCAGAAGACACTCAGAACGCACTGTGCCCACAATAATGGACTCAAGCTGACCAACCATGGTGAAGACAGGACCAATAATTCTTCGCTCTATTGTCCACGGGTATGTCTTAAGTCAGAGCCAACTCTACAGCAACGAAGAACCGTAACTCTAACAACAGCATTTTATAATCATTACTACTACCAATTGTCGCCTCTGCCCTCAGTTGTGTCCTCTCTGAAAAGACCAGAAACAATGGGCACAGCAGTGTCCACGGGCAGACGCAGGGCATGCTGTTACACCTAGCAGAGAGTAGCTAGGTGGCCACACCCACAGCCTCCTGGAACCCACGAGTGATGCTGGGCTATTCAATCCAGCCAGGCCAGGCGGGAGCCCCACCTATGCAAGTCCAAACCCTTCTGACCCTCCAGACCAGACCCCGAGGCACTTGCTGGGAAGAGGAAGGGACTTTGGGGACTTAGGCTGATGATACTGGGACTGAACAAACAGACCCCATTGCCACTGGACAGCCTCGTCCTGAGTCAGGCTTTTGACAGCCGCCCCGTACACAAGTGAAAATCAACAGCAGCTGAGCTGGCAGCTGAGGCAGCATTCCAGCTTGGCTCAGAGCCGGCTCCCAACATAGAGTGACATGGCAAAGGCAGAGCAAACCAATCCCTTTGGGCATGGTGCATGGCCCTTCAACCCTACTGATCCTCAGATAACGAATTTCCCACTGAATCCTGGAAAGGAAGCTACCAACAAAACACTTCCAGTAAACACAGGAGTCAGGCCAAGGTGTGCTCTGGGTATGTGTTTGTGTGTGTGTGTTGTGAGGAAGGTGGCCCCTGGCAAACTAACCAATAGAGTATGGTGGGAGTGATGATGCCGGCTGATCGCTGAGGCTCAGTTATGAAAAGGCTAGTCCCTCTCTCCCTCTTCCCCTTACTCTCTCCGTGTCGTCTTCCTTCCTTTTCCCCTCTCGCCAACCACCTTCAACCCAACCTCCGAGCCATGAGGAAGCCCAGCCAATAGCCAGCACTGTGTGCCAGACACATCGACCCCTAGCCCAGCCTTCCACTTGTCCCAGATGCCCCAGATGTCAGATGTGAGTGGTTTTCAGGACCTACATGTTATGTGGTGGTCTGTTACACATTAGACAGCCAGCGAAATGGGCACTCAAAATGGTGATCGTAGTGTAAACGCAAACGTGGACCTAGCCACCTATGAGATTAAACAACACATTTATAATGTAGTGAAAACAGATGGGCCACAGAGGCAAAAAGGTAGGTGTGGTTTCACTCTTCCCCCACACCCCCACTCCTATTAGTGTACAGTTAGTGGTTTCCTGCCAAGGTCAAGTACACTGGCCAGGTCTGGCCTTGACCTCTGACAGACAAAGTTAGTGCAAAACTGAGTTGCATGTCCAGGAAGCAGCGGCTGCAGATCCAGGCCCAGCTGACCACTGCTGCCTCAGAGCTTCTGGCCCCCATCAGGGCATCTCTTGGAGAGAGGCTGGAGAAGTGGCTCTCTCTGGTGGGCGCTGGCCTAGAGAGGTGGGAGTCTGCTGCTTCCGACCCTCACTCTGGCCTGGCCACAGTGACTGGGTACCCTGCAGGGCTCCTGGGTAGATGGCAGCTGCCACCTGGCACCCATCCCACAGGCACATGTAGTCTAGTCCAGGAAGGAGCCCGGAGCCAGCCATGCCTGGTCAACTCAGCAACGGGGTTGGGGCCAACCCTGAGCCATCAGGGGCTGACGCTGAGGTTCCACTGGAGACATGGGAGGAGAGTTTGATCCACAGCCAACGAGTCCAAGGTTCAGAGTGGTCAGTGTCCTCAGCACTGCAAGGGGTCAGGAGAGGGCAGTAAGCCAGGAGGCAATGGAGGTGGTGTTCCAGGACAGGGTGGAGGGACAGTGCACATGTAGTGGGGGCAGGACTTGGGGGAGCATGGCACAGGAGGAGATGGGCAACGTGGAGCCCAGGTTCCTCCTAGGATGAACCTGGGGACATAGGGCCAGCCAGTGGCAGGGAAGGACTCAGGAGTCCCAGACGGAAGAGCTTTCCAGTGCTGAGGGCTGGGGACATGGTCTAGCTGACCTATGCGTCTTCCCCCAAGTCTCCAAGCCAGGCCACAGCAAGGATGCCCAGGACCAGGCCCTCAAAGTCATGAGGACACCCCTCTGATCCTAGTACTGAGACCGGGAGGCCCTGGATCGAGTTACCTGATGCCGCTTGCTTCCCAGGGACACTGACCCAGGCAGGCAGCCTTACTTCCTCGTGGGCCACCCCAATTACCTTGTCCCAGGCTTGGCCGAGGTCACCGCAGGCTGATCCTGGAGTCCAACTGCTGCAGATGCTCCTGGACACCAAACGGGATAGTGGGAGTCCACATCCTGCAGGGATGGCAGGGTGGGAGGCTGAGGCCAGGGCGAAGGAGGCAGGGTGCCCCAGTCTTCCTCCCACCCAGTCTAGGACCCTGGGAACTTCCCACCTAGTCAGAAACAGAAGTATGAATCTGGAGACCCCTTTCTGTAGATCTCTTTCCACTGCTGATTGGCTGGATGCCCTCAATCAAGTTAGTTATCCTCTCTGTGCTTTATTCTTTTATCTATAAAATGGGCTTTATATGAAGATGCAGGACACCTGTAGGATCAGCACTGGACTGTGAACCACAAGGTCATCAGTCCAAACCCACCAGCTTCTCCTTGGAAACCCTATACAGGGTTGCTGTGAGTCAGAACCTACTCAACAGCACTTAACAAGAACATGTGAAGAGGCAAGTGGTTATGTGGCTGGAACGGTTTTGAAAGAGTATACTGTGCCATTAGATCTTGAGACATCATGAGGACTTAATGCACAGTAAAAATAACAATAAATGAGTTTGAACTATACCAAATTGCCAATTTTGCAGATCAGAATGATAGGCTATAGGCAAGTTCATATGGTTCAACCTGACTTAGTATTTATTGAACCTTTTCATGTGCCGACACTTAGGTGTCTTTATTAATTAAAGCCTCAGGAAACCTCCTGGGGTAGGGGCAGATGAAGAGAAGGGTCTGTCAGGTGAAGTGCCAGACTGCCCAGGGGCACTCCAGGAGAGGCAGGCCCTGACGCGCATGCCTGGAGAGATAGTGGCTCTCCTCACACCAGGGCCCCCAGACTTACGCCAGCTTCTCCACGTGAGGGCATTTCTTCAGGCTGGCGGTGAGCTGTTGGGCCCCGGCAGCCGTGAACTTGTTGTACTGGACACTGAAGAGAGAAGTCCATCTTGGGCCTGGATTGGCTCTGGGGACTGTCCAGTCCCAGCCAACCCCAACACGTCTCAACACGACAACTGGACCCCAGCCCGGTAGGGACCCCCGACCCCTGCCACCCACCTCCCAGGTTGCCCTACTTACTCCAGCACTCGAAGGCACACCATGTCGGGAAGCACGTGGGCCAGGCTCTCGGCTCCAGCGTCATTGATGGAGTTATTGTACAAGCTGTTGGAAACAGAGGTCAGTGTGGGGGCTGGGGGACCCACAGCCAATCAGGATTACTGGTCCCATTTCACAGAAGGGGCAGCTGAGGCTCCCTGGGGTTGGAGTGAGTCCAGGTAAGTAGCAGGACAGAGAGGGACAGCTGAGAGTGTGGAAACTGTCAGAGGGCAACTCCCTAAGTTCAAATCCCTGATCTGCCACTTCCTACCTGTGTGACCTTTTGCAAGTCACTTAACTCCTCTGTTGATCCATAAAATGGATACAGTCCTCCCTTGGTATCATAGGGGATTGGTTTCAGAACCCCAGAAGATACCAAAACCCTCTGGTACTCAACTCCTCTCGCTAAAATGGCATCGGATTTGCATATATCCTATATACCGCACCCCACTGCCTGCAGGACAGAGTAGAATCTCCCCAAAGGCTGTCCAAGCTGTAAATCTCTATGGAAGCAGAATGCCACCGCTTTCTCCCACAGAGCAGTGTTGGGTTTGAACCACTAAAACTACCAGCGCTCTGATGCTCCACACGTCCTACCACACACACTAACTCATCTCTGTTGTTGTTGTTGTTGTTAAGTGTTGTTGAGTTGGTTCCAACCCATAGCGACCCTGTATAGGGTTTCCTAGAAGCGGAGGGTGAATTTGAATCACCAAACTCATCTCTAGAGCACTTATATAACACCTAATACAATGGCAATGCAATGTAAACAGCACTCATTCCCTGCCGGAGCTCTGCCACTCCTAATGATAAGCACTGAACTGGCTGCCAGCAACAGGGTCTGTCTGCAGTTTGAGCCCACCAGCCACTCTATGGGAGAGAGATGAGGCTTTCTGCTCTAGCAGAGACTTTTTTAAAGCCTCAGAAACCCTATACAGGGTCACTATGAGTCGGAACCGACTTGAAGGCACTTGAAAACATCTCCCTCTTATTTTTTGTTTTATTCAGCTATTTTTGATCTGAGGTTGGCTGACTCAGAGAGAACGGGGTGGAATCCTCAGATACAGAGAACTTTAGTTGTAGTTAGGATCCCTGGTGGTGCAGTGGTTAAGCACTTGACAGAGACATGCGGGTCGTTGTAACGCCATCAGCGGTTCCTCGGGAGAAAGACCTGGCGATCTGCTGTCATAAAGATTCTGACAGATAAGAACTTCCAAGGCTATCATCGTCACAGAAGCAGACGGCCGCACTGTTCTCCCACGGGGCGGCAGCTGGGTTCAAACCGCCGACTTTTTGGTTAGCAATCAAATGCCTCACCATTGCTACCAGGGCCTAGGAAACCATATAGGGTAGCTCTGCTGTATAACGTGGGGTCACTATGAGTTGGAATTAATGCAACATCAACCACTGAGTAATTGTGAGGTGGAGTAACAACGCATGCGAAATAATCACTTGGAACAGAGATGTGGAGTGAACTTCAATGTGAGCTGGGGTGAGGCTTTGGCCCTCAGAGGATGTGACCAGAGTTTGGGGAAGGGAGTGAAGAACCCAGAGTCACTAGGCTGGCCCAGCCTTCTGTGATGCGCACGCAGCCACCGCTGCTGTTGTTAAATGCAGTCAGGTAGTGACCCCGTGTACGGTTTCTGAAGAGCGTCTGGTGAGTTTGAACTGCTGACCTTACGGTTAGTTGCCCAGTGCTTATCCTGCAGCGCCACACAGTGACTTCCAGTCACCATTAGCAGAGTCACAAACAGCAGGTGTTTGCTAGTGGCTAAGTGGCTGTTTGGTCACAGCCAGTGTCCACTGACAGGCCACTGCCGTTCCGCTGGGTGTGCCTGCCTTGGCCCTGGGACTCCAGGCCTGTGTGTGGAACAGCAGCAGAGGAGAGCCAGGCAGGGGGCTTTGCAATCTGGTCTCCTGCTGTGTCTTAGGACCACCACACAGGCAGAGCCATCTGCCCATTTCATGGAAGCCAAGATGCAAGTCATTCAAACTTGACTGTCATCGGGATTAGGGTGTGCATTATATTGAGTGTGTGGGTGGGGCGGGCAGAGTTTCCTTGATGGTATGCTGAATAAAGGTATCTCAGACGCCTCAAAATGTTTTCTTCAGTGCAAATTGCCCCCACCTGCTTCCAAAGACCTCCCCTGATTACAAAGACCCCTTATGATCTGGTCTCTGCTGGCCTCTCCCACCTCATCTCCTACCTTCTGTCCCTCACCCACTATACACCCATCACAGCAGCCCTTCTGACCCTTAAAGACTCAAACTCTTTACAACCTCTGGGCCTTTGCACCTGCCCTTCCCTCTCCCAGGAATGCTCTTCCCTATAGCTCCCCATGTGGTCAGCTCCTCTTCATTTTTAGGGTCTCACAGAGTCACCTCCTCAGAGGGCTTCTCAATCTCCCTAATGAATCTAACATTGTATGCTTCAAGGAACCCTGGTGGGATAGTGGGTTAAGAAGCACTGAGCTGTTCAATGAAAAGTTGGCAGTTCAAACCCATCAGTGGTTCCCCCGGAGAAAGACAAGGCTGTGTGTTCCTGTATAGTCTCCGAAACCCTATGAGTTGGGGTCACTATGAGTTGGAATTGACCAGACAGCAGTGGGTCATCATTCTTTCCTGGGGCCCTGTGAGTTTCCTTCCCAGTATGAATCACTATTTTTAATATTCAATTGATGATTACTTGCTTGTTATGCAATAAACTTTAAAGCAAGGCCCACAGCTGTCTTGCTGACACTTGTTTCTCTAGTTTCTCACACTGGCCCTGAGACATGTGAGAGTCAAATACTGCATGTCCCACACAGCTCAGAGTGTCAATCACGTGAGTACGCATTGTGCAGTCCGCAACCTGTATAACTGTATGTGGTAGCCCTGGCTGGAAGGCCAGGTGAATGGAAACATCAATAACTAAATGCACTAGATGCTTTCTCCCCTGGAAATTTGACTCTGGCTGTCCTCGGCAGGGGGTGAGGTGGGAGGGATGTTTCCCCAGCTTGGAGAGGGAGGAGAGCAGGCCATTCTGATGTGGACAACTTGGGTTCTGGTCCAAGCTTGGCCCCTTGTTAGCCATAAGGCACAAGGCAAGGCCTGCCTCCTATTTAGCATAGTGGTTATGAATCGAGCTGCTAATCTCATGATCAGCAGTTCGAAACTACCAGTTGTTCCACAAGAGAAAGATGAGGCTTTCTGCTCCCGTAAAGATTTATAGCCTCGGAAACCCGGTGCAGGGTCGCTATTAGTTGGAACCGACTCCACGGCACATAACAACAACAAAGATTTACAGCCTTGGAAACCTGATGCAGGGTCACTATGAGTCAGAACCGACTCCACGGCACATAACAACAAGAAGATGGGGCTGAGCTACAAGTAAAATACCCCAAAGTGAGACCTGCTACTCCAGGATCCACCAGAAGGTGGCAGTGTAAGGACAGACCCAAGGTGAGGGACTCCAGTCAGCCTTTCACAAACAATCAACCAGAAACCAAACCCAATCCACTCCCGTCAAGTAGATTCCGACTCACAGCATCCCTATAGGACAGGACACAGGGCTTCTGAGACTGTAAATCTTTACAGAGGCAGACTACCACATCACCTGTTTGCTGTTGTTGTTAAGTGCCGTAGAGTAGGTTCCAACTCATAGTGACCCTGCATAGGATTTCTGAGGAGAGGCTGGTGAGTTTGAACTGCCAACCTCGTGTGCTTCAAACCGACCTTATAGTCCAGCGCATTAACCCATAGTGCCACAGATCCATCAACTCCATTGCGCCTCATAGCAGCCCCATGTACAACAGAACACTGCCTGTCCCGTGCCATCCTCACAGTTGTTGTTGGGCTTAGCCCATTGTTGCAGACACTGTCGGTCCATCTTATTGGCGGTCCTCCTCTTTTTTGCTGATCCTTCATTTTACCAAGCATGATGTCCTTCTCCAGGGGCTGGTCCTTCCTAACTTAAGCTGTTGTCGTTAAGTGCCATTGAGTCCGTTCTGACTCACAGGGACTTTGTATAGGGTTCTGAGGAGCAGCTGGTGGGTTTAACCTATTGAGCTTGCGGCTTGTAGTCCAGTAGTGATCCTACAGCCCCACATCAGAAATCGCTTATTCCTGCCCTCCCCAAGGGGAAGAAGGCTGATGTTTATTGTGCACCAGGGTTAGCTTTACATGGGGGCTTGGTTTAACTCTCTGAGGAGGGTAGTGGACAGTTCCCATTTTCCAGATGTAAAAACAGAGACAGGGAATGAGGAAACAACTTGCCCAGGGTTTCGATGCTCTTTTCCCTGGGGTCATGCTGGCCCCCTTGTCCAGGCCACGGCATGCCTCAGGCCCCGGGGAGCTGTGCTCTCACTGGGTTCTAGTTAAATGGTACCTGTGTGGAGCAAGGCAGTGCCGCGGGGCTGCCTGACACACGGCTTCTATGCTAGCAGCATCCCACCTTGCAGCCCCCGCCCATTACTCACCTCAGCCTGAGGAGGGACGCAGCCAGGGAGGGCAGGGCTTCTGCAAGTGTGCAGGCACCCACGTCGGTGATGTTGTTCTGGGACAGGCTGCAGGGATATAGCGAAGGCGGAGTCAGAACCAAACCTGGGTCTCCACCCCCTCAGGCATCTCAGAAACTCTCACTTCAGCACAGGGTGGCCCATGGGCCACATGCAATTAGCTTGTGTGAGTGGTGGGTAGTGACACAGGAATGGGACCGTGCGCTGACCCCCTCCGGGAAGTGGGCTGAGGGCTGAAGCAGAGACAGAACTCACTCTTCCTCCCCACCTCTGCATGATGTCATAGCACTCCCGTCACCCTCTGCATGATGTCATAGCACTCCCATCGCCCTCACTATCATTGTGTGTGTGTGTGTGTGTGTGTGGTATTTGTAGATCACCTCTCTACTTCATCAGGCAGTGGACTCCACGAGGAGAGGAGTCATGTCTGTTTCTAGCTCATCACTGTATCCTATATGCAGTGCCAAGCACATAGCAGGTGCGTAATAAAGGCTTGTTTCTTGTTAGGTGCCATCAAGTCAGTTCAGATTCACAGCAACCCCATGTGACATAATCAGAACTTCCCCTTGGGGTGTTCTACCCTGTCAATCTTTACAGAGCCAACCACCAGATCTCTTTCCCACGGAACTGCTAGTGGGTTTGAACCACTGACCTTTGAGTTAAATGCTTGACTACTACACTACCAAACCAGACCAACCAACCAACGAAACCATCCCACTGCCATTAAGTCTATTCTGACTCTGAGGCTGTAAATCTTGACAGGAGCAGAAAGCCTCATCTTTCTGCCATGGAAAGGCTGGTGGGTTTGAACTGCTGACCAGACTTAGCCCACAAAACCACACCAGCACTCCTATGTTGTACCACCAGAGCTCCTTAGTCTTATGTGTAATGAAATGTTGCTCCTTCTCAGGGGAAAAGAAAGGAAGAGATGAAGGGAGGAAGGACTGAGAGAGAGCAGTCCTTTTGGGTCACAGTTTCTAATTGGAACAGTAGAAAACAATGGAGGAGGCTCAGTACAATGGAGGAGGCTCAGTGTCCTACACACAAAGAATGCTCAGTGGCTTCTGGGGTCATCCTGATCATGCTTATGAAGGGAAGGAATTGTGGTCAGATTTTGATGATACTCTCCAGGTTTAATGATTGGTACTGGTTGGTTTGAACTGCAAGGTCAATGGTTCAAACTCACCAGCTGCTCCTCAGAAACCTATATGGGGTGGCTATGAAATGAACCGACTCGACGTCACTTAACAACGACAATCCCCCTTTAGACTCCTGGTGTGGTGCTTTAGGATCAGCACTGGACTGTGAACCACAAGGTCAGCAGTTCCAACTCACCAACTGCTCCTTGGAAACCCTTTACAGGGTGGCTATAAGTTGGAACCAATGCAGTGGCACTTAACAACAATCCCCCCCTAACTTATTTATCAGCAACTTCCCAAAGCCCAGAACACTGACAAAAATTATTAAAATGTACTGCTCAGGGGTCGTGGTGTGGCGCTGTAGGCTAAGCACTGGACTGCTAACCGCAAGGTCAGCTGTCACACGCATCAGTGATTCCAAAGGAGAAAGATGAGTTTTTTGTTCCTGTGAAGATCTACAGCCTCAGAAACCCTATGCAGGTTCCCTATGAGTTGGACCCGACTCAGCGAGAGTGGCTCTGGGTTTTTTTTGACTCTGACAAGACTGTTTTCCCTCTACATCCCAATCAATCTCTCCTGCCACAGCCCCGTGTGCAGTTTTCATGACCTTCACTACTGTCTACTTAATAGTTATGGGGTCATACGTTTCCTTGCTGGCTTATTGTGTCTGCTCACTGAGACTGAAGATCTCTGAAGTTAGGGACTTTGTCTGTCTTGTTCAAAGCTGGGTCTCCTCTACACAGTGGCTGTTGGGTAAATACTCATTGATGGAATGAACACATGATTAGATGTGAGTCACTGGATGACTGAATCATGGAATCCTGAGATAAATGAAGTCGGATGTTGATGATGAACTGAGTGGACGTATGAGAAGGCGTCAATGTCTAGGGAAGGATGGACTAAGTGGATGGGTGGATGGACAGACACGTGAGAGACAGAATGAAAACAAACCAGCTGGGCTTTGGGGGGCTGATATGGCAGGAGGGCAGGACCAGTCCACTCACTTGAGCGTTTCCAGGGACTTCAGCTGAGGGAAGGTGGCTGAGAGTTGTGCGACACCTTTGTCCCCGATCTTGTTGTCACTCAGTGAGTCCAGGCTACAGGTGCAATCAGATGGTGTCATCAGCCAGTGCTCCTCAGGAAGCCACCTGGCCCCTCCCACCCCACACCCTGATCCCAGACCCCTCTGTCCCCCCTGCCCTGGTTATGCGGTAGGCTTCTAGACAGCTGGACAGCTGAGGGACAAGGTTCTAGCTCCTGGTGGGCCTGTCTTGGGAGCCCTGTGAACGTGGGCAGCTTTCTGAACCTCTTGAAGCCTCAAATTCCTCAACTGTCAAGGGGTCCATGCCCGTACCCTGCCTCGTGGGGTTACTGGGAGCAGCCAAGGAGGCCACTGAGGGAAAGACTCTAAACGTTTTGATTTCTAGGCACTCCTGTTTGCTGTCCCTTCACTGTGGTGGGTCACGTGGTGACTCTTGTCATAGGGAGGAAGCAGCAGGGGACAGAGAGAAGGGCATTTCTCTGGGTATTCCATGTGGGCAGGTGAGGGGAGGCTGGGGCAGGGCTGATACTCACTCCAGATGCTGGAGGGAGGTAAAGGCCATCAGGATCGTCACCAGTTTGGGGAAAGCCTGGGGACCTGAGACGGGGCCCAGCCTAGGAAGCAAACAGCAGGGATGAGACCTCGAAACAGTCGCAGCCGCTCAAGTCGGCCCCAGGGTGGGTAGAGAATAGGACACAGAAGTCGGACCTTGCGTGAGGTCCCCTCCCCTTCCCTGTCTCCAAGCCCTAACCCCAGTACCACCTCTGCCTGGTGGGACCTGTCCCTGAACTCTTCAGGGAAGATTTTGCAATGCCCCTCAAGCGGTCAGTTGGCCTCCCAACTGGTGCTCCCCGGTTTTCACCTCTGAAAGGGTACCCAGTTTTCCCTCCTCCCGACCCACACAAGCATCATTCTCCAGCCCTGCCTTGATGAGATGGTCCTCAAATGCCTGCCTGAAGACTGGCATTGTTGTTGTTGTTAAGTGCCGTCGAGTCGGTTCCAACCCATAGCGACCCTGTACAGGGTTTCCGAGGCTGTAAATCTTTACGGGAGCAGAAAGCTTCATCTTTCTCCCACAGAGTCACTGGTAGTTTCGAACTGCTGGCCTTAAGGTTCACAGCCTGATTCGTAACCACTATGCTAGACTGGCATATGGCTTACTTATTCCCTTTTACACTTTACTAACAACAATAGCTGGGTCCTTCGCTGGCACTGTTGTTGTTAGGTGCCATCGAGTCGATTCCAACTCATAGCGATTTTGTAGGACAAAGTAGAACTGCCCCATAGGGTGTTATCTTTACAGATTGCCAGTTCTTCCTCATGTGGAGCTACTGGATGGGTTTGAACCCCAACCTCTAAGTTAGCAGTTAATAATCTGGACTCCTCATTTAATCCTTATGTCTCTCTGATGTCAGGGATGTTCTTCTTCCCATTTTATAGATGAGGCAATTGAGGCCCAGAGAGGTTAATTAGCTACACAAGGTCACACAGCCTGGACCAATGTTTTAATCAGACTTCAAGTGAATGACATAGATAGATAGATAGATAGATAGATAGATAGATAGATAGATAGATAGATAGATAGATAGATAGATAAAGAACAGAGGATTACTTTATTTTTCATTTAAAAAAATCTGGCTATGGTACATGGAGGGGATTATAATCATTGTAATGAAACTAGGTATATGATATGTTGAATGTAAAACTGATGATCTGCCCCGTAAATGTTCACTCAATCCACAATAAAATCCTTAAGAAAAAAAATCTTTTAAAATGTATTTAACATAAAGGACTATTCTGAATTATGTCATTTGTATTTCTTTTAAAATACTTTCCTTGATAAAATTACAGTACCAGTAGCAGTTTTCTTATTATTTGTTTTCATGAATTTATTTGATAAAAATTAAAAATAGGCAACTGCACATGGTCACTCGTGTTCATTCTGGAATGTTCTCAAGAACCACACAGCCAGGGAATGCTAGCCTCATTCAGAGCCTGAAATCAGATTTGAATCTTGGCTCTGCCATGGACCTTCCAAGGGCTGGGGTTGAATCCCTTCACCTTGGAGTCCCAGCCTCTTGGAGGAGTTCGCTCCATCTTGTGAGGTCATTGGAAGGTGTGAGAGTTAAGGTTTTCTGTCAGTTTAGCTGGACCTGGACTCTCACTTCTCAGTGGTGTGTGTTGTAAACTCTCACTTCTAAGGTGTTAACGAGGCTGAGTGAAATCTATGGGATTAGGTTATATCTTGAGTCAGTCTCTTTTGAGATATAAAAGAGATTAAACAGGCAAGCAGAGCTCAGAGGGAGCAACTCCCACCTAGAAAGAAGATCCGGGAGTGGCGTGAGCTCTTTGGGCCTGCGGTCCCTGCCTTGGGAAGCGCCTAGATCCTGGGAAAGACTGATGTCAAGACACATGGAGATCTCCAAGAAATGCTGGGCATACAGACTGAAGGAAGACAAGGATTTTCTCCAGAGCTGACAAAGAGAGAAAGCCTTCTCCTAGATCCGCCACTCTGAATTTGGACTTCCAGCCTCCTAAACGGTGAGAGGGTACAGGTATGCTTGCTAAAGGCATCCACATGGGGTAGTTCTGCTATTGGTAGGTTGTTGGTAGGTACTGTCGAGTCGGCTGTGATTCATAGCAACCTTATGCACAACAGAATGAAACACTGCGACACCCTCACAATTGTTGCTAAGCTTAAACCCATTACTGCTGACACTACAAATCCATCTCTTTGGGGGAGTTCCTCTTTTCCTCTGACCTTTCACTTTACCAAGCACGATGTCCTAGAGGGAATGGTCCCTCCTGATAATATGTCCAACGTATGAGGGATGAAGTCTCACTATTCTGGCTACTAAGGAGCATTTTGGCTGTACTTCTTCCAACACAGATTGGTTTGTTCTTGCAGCAGTCCATGGTACCTTTAATACTTTTCTCCAACATCATAACTCCAATGCAATCAATTCTTCTTTGGGCTTCCTTATTCATTGTCCAACTTTCACATGCATATGAGGCTATTGAAAATACCATGGTTTGGGTCTGGCAGGCCTCATTCCACAAACTGACATCTTTGCTTACCACTTTAAAGAGGTCTTGTGCAGCAGATTGGTAAAATGCAATATGCCATTTGATTTCCTGACTGCTATATATATCTATGAGTGCTGTTAGTGGATCGAAGCAAAAGGAAGTCTTCGACAACTTCAATCTTTTCTCCATTTATCACGATGTTATTATTATTGCTCCAAGCAGTGAGGATTTTTGTTTTCGTTACATTGAAGTGCAACCCATACTGAAGGCTGTAGTCTTTAATCTTCATCATCAGTAAGTATTTTAAGTTCTCTTTGCTTTCAGAGAGCAAGGTCGTATCACCTACATATCACAGGTTGTAAATGAGTCTTCCACCAATCCTGATGCCACGGTTTTTCTTCCTATAACCTAGCTCCTCAGATTATGTGCTCAGTACACAAGCTGCATAAGTATGGTAACAGAATACAGCCTTGGTACACATCTTTCCTGATTTTAAACCATTGAGCGTTCCATGGTTCTGTTTGGTCTAGGTACAGTTTCCTCATGAGCACAATTTTTAGTGTTCTGAAATATGTATTCTCTGAAATGTTGTCCCGAGCTTGTCATGATCTATACAGTTGAAAGTCTTTGTGTAGTCAATAAAGCACAGGAAAATCTCTTTCTGGTATTCTCTGCTTTCTGCCAAGATCCATCTGATATCAGCAATGATATCCCTCATTCCATGTCCTCGTCTGATTCTGGCTTGAACCTCTATCAATGTATTATTGCAGCCATATTTTAATTATCTTTAGTAAAATTGTACTTACATGTGATATTAATGATATTGTCTGATGATTTCTGCATTCCACTGGGTCACCTTTCTTTGGAATGGGCACAAATATGGATCTCTTCCAATCAGTTGGCCAGGTAGCTTTTCCCAAATTGCTTGACCAGAGATGACTGTTTCCAGTGTTGTAAGATTTCAATTTGTATTCCATCAATTCCTGGAGGTTTGTTCTTTGCCAATGACTTCAGTGCACCTTGGACTTTTTCCATTTCTTTTTGGTACAGTGAATCTGTGAACTCCTTCCACCTTCTTTGGATGCTTTCTGCATCATTCAATATTTTTCCTATTGTTGTTGCTGTTGTTAAGTGCTGTTGAGTCGATTTCTACCCATAGCGACCCTGTATAGGGTTTCTGAGGAGCAGCTAGTGAGCTTGAACCTCTGACCTTGCCATTCACACCGACTTTGCAGTCCAGTGCATTATCAAATCCTTCAATATGACAAGTCAAGGCTTGAATTTTTTCTTCAATTCTTTCAGCTTGAGGAATACTGAGCATGTTCTTCCCTTTTGGTTTTCTAACTCCGGGTATCTGCATATTTCATTATAATACTTGACTTTGCCTTCTTGAGCTGCCCATTGAAATTTTCTGTTCAGCTCTTTTACGTCCTCATTTCTTCCATTTGCTTTAGCATCTCTATATTGGAGAGCAAGTTTCAGTGTCTCTTCTGACATTCACATTGGTCTTTGCTTTCTTGTCCTCTTAATGACCTTTTGCTTTCGTCCTGTATGATGTTCTTGATGTCATCCCACAACTCTTCTGGTCTTTGGTCATTAGTGTCTAATTCATCAAATCTGTTCTTGAGATGATCTCTAAATTCAGGTGGGACAAGTTCAAGGTCATATATTGGCTCTTGTGGACTTGTTTTCATTTTCTTTAGCCTCAACCTGAACTTGCATATAAACAATTAATGGTCCATTCCACAGTCTGTCCCTGGCCTTGTTTTGGATGATGATATGGAGCTTTTCCATCATCTCTTCCCATAGATGTGGCCAATTTGATTTCTGTGTATTTCATCTCTTGAGATCCAGGTGTATAGTAGTAGTCTTTTATATTGTTTTTTAAAAAAAGTCTTTGCAATGAACAAGTCATTGATCTTGCAAAATTCTATCATGCAATCTTCAGCATCGTTTCTATCACCAAGGTCATATTTTCAACTACTGATCTTTCTTCTTTGTTTCCAACCTTTGCATTCCAATCACCTGTAATTATCAACACATCTTGATTGCATGTTTGATCAATTTCAGACTGAAGAAGTTTGTAGAAATCTTCAATTTTATCATCACTGGCTTTAGTGTTTTGTATGTAAATTTAAATAATAGTGGTATTAGCTGCTCTTCTTTGTAAGCATATAGATATTATCCTATCAAGACAGCATTATATATTAAGATTGATCTTGAAATGTTCTTTTTGATGATGAATGCAACACTATTCCTCTTCAGTTGGTTGTTCCTGGCATAGTAAACCATGATTGTCAAATTCATTATGGGCAATACCAGTCCATTTCAGTTCGCTAATGTTTTTAGGATATCGATGTTTACACATTCCATTTCATTTTTGACAACTTCCAATTTTCTTAGATTCATACTTCATACATTCTTTGTCATGGTTATTAATGGATGTTTGCAGCTGTTACTTCTCACTTTGAGTTCTGCCCCATCAGCAAGTGAAGGTCCCGGAAGCTTTACTCCATTCGCATCATCACAGTCAACTCTACTTTGAAGAGGCAGCTCTTCCCCAGTCGTATTTTGAGGGCCTTCCAAC